AAGCAGCCTTCAGATGGAGGGTTTGGCACATCCTGTAAGTGCCGCAGACATAGACACTGCCCACTTGACCTACCGAGCAGCTTAAAAGAAATGGCGTGTGTGTTAGAAAAGAACAGTGACCAGTCAGAGCCGGAGACAAGGACGTCGCCCACATCCTATGGAGACCCATAGGACTGCCTGTCCCCTCGCCCCACGGGCCCCTCCTACAGCCCAAACCTCCCTCTGCTGTGAGGCCGACTCTGTCCCAGGTCAGAGCACTGAGCCCCACAGGAGGATTGCTAACCTCTCCAAGACTTCAGCTCCCCAAGAATGGGGTCCTGCCTTCCCGCGGGCCTCGGAGACTGCCTGGGGCTGTCCCAGCTACCTGGGCCTCCTGAAGGCACCCGTGCGCCAGCAAGGCCCAGCCCCGCTCCAGCTGGGGCTCACAGCACAGCCAGCCATACCTTCAGGGACCTCACCGACACCGCCAACCTGATGCGTGAGCCGTCCTTGTTGTTGGCCACCACAGCCTTTCAGCCAAGCTACGCATTCACGGTCACAGTCTGGTCCCAAGTCTTTAACCCGGGCTTTGCACCGTGCACTGCAGGGAGCTGAGATTCTCTTCTCTCTGCTGTCAGAGGGGCAGGTAGACCCTGGACCCTGCCTCTCTCTCAAGCAAACGGAGTGTACCAGGGCATGCACGATTGGGGCAGCATGGACTTCGAGCCGCCCTGGTGGGTTTTCTTTGCCCCCACACACCATCCTTTTCCCTCTCCGACCTCCTGAGCTCCTGCTTTCTCCCCGGTAGCTGAAAAAATTATAATGGCGTTGCTCGTTTACGGTGTATCGGGCGCTCTTACGGTTGCTTTACATCTACATAGCAATGACATGAATTACAAGTTCGCTGGGCCTCTTTTGCTTCCCCTGAAAAGCGGGGCAGTTTAATGAGACCCTCTCCAGTCTTCTCCGGGAGCTCCCGGAATGAGGGCCAGGATTACCACGGCCTCGTCGCCTTACCTGGTTTGAGAGGACGGCACCTTTCAAGGAAAGGAGATCAACGTAGAAATACAGAGGAACGCTTTCTCTAGGATGCAGTGTTCAAGCCCTTAACCTGACCTTGAAGAAAGAAAAAGATGTGTTGGGATTTCTCGTAGAAGTGGAATAATCGGGGGAGGAGTTGGCGTCTGATAGAGGAAGCACGTTCATGGCCAAGTGGCATCCGAGAGCTCGGGATGGAATTGTGGAAGACGGGCCAGTTGGAAAAGCAAGTCCAACAGGAAGAAAACAGCTTCCAGGGAGTTACGATCCCAGACCCAGGTTCAGCAACGTGACTGGGCCTCTCCACACAACACTAACCAAGAGCTAATATATAGTATTTATTCGAGAAAGATGGTTCCAGGGTAAGGAATGAGATTTAGTTACCATAACGCACATTACTTCTTGGAGCTCCCAGTTCCCCTATGAGAAAAGCCATTTTTCTTTTTCAATATACGTCTGATGTTTGCAATCCGTAGGGCTATTGTCAAATGGTTTCCACTTACTTGAAAAGACAACTTCTCTGCCTTGAGGTTTTACCTATCAGATCTCGGTGCTGGCACCCATTGCTGTGGCATTACACCAGCCACGGAATTACGCACAGGGACGACAAACATCACCTGTCATCCTGCCCAGAAGTGGCTCAACATACCATATCCCACTTCGCAAATCTGGGTAAAAAAACTATCGTCCAAAACAACATGAAAATCAAGAGTCCTCTCTCTCTGAGGATCCATGGAGTCTCCCCTCTTTTTTCCAGGCTAAAGAATCTGTAATTATTACCTCTTTCTCTCTTTGGTGGGAGAGGTCGTCAAATCAACTTTTGTTCTAGGCATTTTTTTTTTTTCCAGCTAATTGATAACCTCCCGCCTCACAGGTACCGGGCTTGGCGATAAGGGTCTTTTTCTTTATACTAAGATAGCACCTTGCTCTAAAGAGGTCTAAGCATTTGCAAATACCGACTCATTATTTATTGCAGGTATTTCACAGAGTTCGATCGTTCTAAGTTACAGAAAAAGTAAAATCAATAACTGTTTCTTATGTAATTACTGTCCATGCAGAGCCTATGCATTTCCGTGCATTAGTCATACTCCAATTATGGTCCGAAGTCACTACTGACCAACCGAGAACTAGTAGTATAATTATGGGAGGGTCAGAAACCCTGGGGGCTGTGAGCTTGTACCACGAATCTCCGCTTTCTCGTTTGTAAAATGACCAAGTTGTGGCTCTCTTGGGTCAGCGACATTAGGCTGTTATTCTATGCCATGTGGGCAATCTGCTCCATAAGCAGACCTGCATCAGGCGCGGGGAAGACAGACACGCACGTCCTCTCTGCAGAGAGCTGGCTGCTGTCTTTCTCTTGCCCCTCTAAACCAAAGCCAGTTCCTGTCTTGATTCCTCTGGGCAGACTTATCTGACTCCTCTGGTCCGCATTGAACTTGCCTCAAATGAACCCTGGTCCTATTTTAAAACTGTACTCCAGCAGGGAGCACATACTGCCATGTATTTTTCTGAGTGCTCTTTACAGCCCGTCCAACAAACTAAATTGTGAGCACTTAACGGAAGTGCTTATGTGTTCAAGCCCCGATCCCCCAAATCAGACCATAAACACAGTAGGCAAGAAATCCTTTGTTCCTTTTCTGTTTATGTTACTAGTAATAAATTATGAAAGAGACCCTTTCTGAAAATCTAGGGGCCCAGAATATACAATTATGCCAATGGGCTCTCACTTACAACCATGCAACTTATGTCCAAGCCAAGACCTAGTTTTAGTCTCCTCTCCCCATTCCATTGTCTCCTTCCTGCTCTCTCCCTCCACTTCCCTCTAAGTATGCTGGCATTACCGCTGTGATGCTCCTCTTTGAAATCCCTCCGTAACACCTCCCTGCATGAATAAGCAAGGGGCATGTGGTGTGACCAAAAGGATATGAAATTTCAGACCAATACTTCCAGCTGTGATGGAAGAAAAACTCATCACACAACGAAAATCGGGGTTGGAGGGAAAGAGCTCTCTCCCCTTCTCATCAAGAAGATGCCAGGTCACTGGCTATTCCTGGGGACTATGTCTTACTCCAGACCTGATAGAAAGGTGAGGAGGGACAGAAGGAAGGAGTCCTACCGGTTTTATCAGTAAAGGATATCTAGAGAATTCTGCCTCTGGCAATCTGGTGTGCCGAGATATTCTGCAACAGCCTTTTACCACCAAGCTAGTCAGATGTTGGAAGAATTACAATAAAAGTAAGTGCATTGCTGAGCTCACAAGAAAATAAGGAAAATCCTCAAGGGCAAGAAGGAGGAGGAGGAGGAGGAGGAGGAGGAGGAGGAGGAGGAGAAGTTGTTTTGTAACATCAGACTTCCAAGCAAACACTAGAGTTGAGTTGCCTTGGGAAAATGTTGATTCCAAGAATCTAGAATTTTGGAAATGAGCAACCACTCCTAAGGGTATAAGAGCAAGTTCGGTGTCCATGCAAAGCAAATAAGGGGAACCTAAGAATCCTGCATTTACCAGAGGATCCCAAGGGCACACCCCAAGTGAAAGGGATACAAAGGTGTTAACAGCACATTTCACAAGCTAGACCGAAAGGATGAACATTGTTCTCTAGAACACACGGAATATTTACCAAAAAATAAATACGTACCAGCCCACAAACAACCCTCAAAGTATTTTCAAGAATTGGGTATCCTGTAAACCGTATTTGCATACTATCTATATTCTTTTGCGACAGTACAATTGAGATAGAAGTCAATTTTTAAATGAACTTGAAATAATAATAAATCAGAAATTTTAAAAACATGTTTCTCCATAACTCATGAATCAGCATAGAGATCATAATAGAAATGTTTAAATATTTATAATTAAATAAAATGAAAACACCATCTATCAAAACTTGTGGCATACAGATAAAGGAGTAGGTAGAAAGAATTTATATTCAAATTCTGACATCAAAAAGGCAAGGCTAAAAATTAGCGAGTTAAACTTCCAGCTTAAGAACTTGGGTGGAGTAGGGGGTTGGCAGACGAGAATATACATCTAAATAAAGGAGAAGAAAGGATGACAAACGCAAAGGAAGAAAGGACAGACATTAGTGCAACAGAAAACAAAGAAAAGTAGAAGGAATGAACAAATCCAAGAGTTGATTGTGTGAAAATATCAATAAAGGGGTGCCTGGGTGGCTCAGTCAGTTAAGCGTCCAACTTCAGCCAGGTCACGATCTCGCGGTCCGTGAGTTCGAGCCCCGCGTCGGGCTCTGGGCTGATGGCTCAGAGCCTGGAGCCTGTTTCCGATTCTGTGTCTCCCTCTCTCTCTGACCCTCCCCCGTTCATGCTCTGTCTCTCTCTGTCCCAAAAATAAATAAACATTGAAAAAAAAAATTTTTTTAAAAAAAAGTTAAAAAAAGAAAAAAGGAAAGATCAATAAGATACACAAATTTCTAATGAGGCAGAAAGAGAGAAGTCACAAAGAAATAATAGAAGAAATTTTTTAAATGACATAACTAAAGATAGAGTTCAAGTTAAAAAGGATAAAACGAGAATATTATGGAAAACTAAATTGGGTTAAATTAGCATGATTCCAGAAAGGCAAAACTAATTCAATATGTAAAAACCCACTTATGTTCATCTTTCTTCCTTCATTCATTCACATCAATTCAGAGCAATTAAAGTCTCACTGTAACGTCACATAGTTATCTCTTTTCTTTCCTTTCCTTCTGGGTCCACTCAACCCCAGCCAAAGGAACTGCATTTGGGGCCTGGGTTTCTTTTCCACAGACTGAGAAATTTCCCATGGGAACATTAAACACCTTCACAGTGTGGTATCCCAACCTCTTGAATGTCTAATCTTTCCAGAATCTCAGGGAATCATAAGGAAACAAATATAATCGCGTGGGGCCCATTTCCAGAATATTGAGAAAAATCACTTACTCTCCAAACCAAATGCAACCATTAACTTACAATCTTAACATCAATTCCCAAGCAGATGTAATGTCTCATCGAATCTACATCCAGGCTGTTACCACCAATCATCCGTAAGGAGCTCGTATTAGTTTGATCAAAACAACACCAACAAACCAGAAAAACGTGAAGGAGGAGCCAGAAAATCCCATGGGGTTCACCTGTGATGGAAACATGCCAGTCAGTCAGCCATGCCAGGTGTCCAAAGCTCAGCACCTACAAAGGTAATACTCATTTGAAGGAAGCGTCTCATCAAGACCCCAGATTTGCCATATCCCGACAAAATACCTCTTGCAAAGTGAATAAAGGACCAACCTACCACATCCTTCCTCAAGACCTTTCTTTTAAGGTTCACCCAGTAAAGCTTATTTCTCTCAACAGTTTGTGCAGGATTCCTTCCTTTGCCTCCCCAGCCCTGCATACGTGGTGCCGTAAATTTCCCTGAAGGGGGCTTAGCAGCAGCTCCCTTCCGTCAAAATCTGTGGCCTCGTATCCTTCCCTAAACCCAGGGGCACACTATACCCTTCTCTCTGTACTTCTCCAAATCTGAAGGCTCTCAAGGCTTGCTTGCTTGCTTGCTTGCTTGCTTGCTTGCTTGTACAGCATTTCAGTTTCTGTGGCAACTGCCTCTTCCTTCCATCCTGGAATGCCTCAGCTTTGCCTCATCATGTCATCCTCCAGGGAGAACATCCCCCTTAGTTTCCATATCTGTCCCAGCCGGGGTCACCCACTTAAAAACTTTCTCCTTTTAAAAATTTGTTTATTTAAATGCAAATTTAAATACAATGTTTAACATACAATGTATTCTTGGTTTCAGGAGTAGAACCCAGACTCCCACTGCTTGAACCCGCCTACTACGTATTTCTAGGAATGTCATCGCTGAACGGGAAAAAAAAAAATCAAGAACAAAAACAAACACAAAACTAGACAAAAACAGGACAATAAAGTGAAATTGGAATCTGTTAATACTAAATCATGCCGCAGTCCAAATACAAAAGGCATTTTACACCAGAAGACTGCCGATTTTAAAGTGAGCTTTTTCAAGAACCCAGAAGTTTCCATCCCTGCCAAGCCCAGATTCCTACTAATCAAAATCAAGGCACAAACTCTCTCTTTGAGTTTTGCTAATGAAAACCAGAGCTCCTCTTGACAACGCAAGTTTCTTCTGGAGGCTAAACCAAAACCCCCAACTTCTGTGCGTAAACTCACCTCCGTCTGCTGGAAAACAAATGTTGGCTAACGTCAAGGTAAATGGACCGGACCCGGACACCTCGGCCAGCACTGACCATGGCTGCCTTCATCCCCATCCCTACTATATTCCCAGGGGAGCCCAGGGCTGAGGATTTAGCTTCAAAGCTCCATTTGGTCAAAAGCCTGGTGATCTAGGCTGAGCCCCACATGGAATTCGAAAGGTCCTCTAGTCTGTCTACCTGAAGATGTCCTGTGGAGCCCTGAGCGGCAGTGTTCCACGCCCCTTCGCAGACATGGCACATGGAACAGGCCAGGGAGGGGCCCCACTTG